CTACTATCACAAGGGTGTCAATAGTTGCGATATTCTAACGTACCGCCCATAACCAGCACTTTTTCGATAACATTCCCAAACCGTTGTGATAAAGCACGTTAATGAAAAAGTCGTTTCCAGTTTCTGAGAAGAAAACAAGAAAAGCCATATCATCCAGAAATTTTACAGGGTTTTCTCTTTAAAATTTGCATTTGGCAAATAACTGATATGTATAAAGAGAAAGCTAGTTAATTTGATTATATATGTGGACAAAAAAAAGAAATCATCCTCGCAGATCTTTAGAAAAGGCTAATAGTAATTCAGCAAATCCTGCACTAAAGCAACCCATGAAAATCAATCGATGCGAAAATCTAACGAAAAGAAAATATAAAGTAGGTAGAGAGAGTATGTTGCATATCAAATACTGGTACCAAATACTAATGAGAACATAAGTAGTTGTTAGCCAGAAAAACACGATAGTATCGACTTCGATACGAGTGGGTTATGGAATCTTTCGCGGTTTATCGCAGCAGTCTTGAACAGTTGAATGATGCGCGACCTTTGCCCCCCAATACTTCGCCCTTGCGTCTTTGGCGACGTAGCTGAGAGCTGTACGATTTTGCTGACGGATCGATTCCCTGTGAAAGAGCGCTCGGAACCTTTGAAGTGTGTAGGCTGATCACGATTGTTCCTTTTTGTCCTAATTATAACTGTCCAGTGAGACCTGTTTTAGTGATCAGTGTAATGTTTTCTCATTTAAATCGAGGTTGCTGAGCTTTTTATAGCTTACTCTTTCGAAATTACTTGTTTATCCAGTTACAACTCCCACCCCACTTCGCGTTAAACTACGAATAGATCTTTAGTCAACAAAATTCAAAAAACAGAAGGAAATTTTGATGGGAACAGAGCTTGTAATAGGAGGCAGTACGAAGCAGGTAACTGTGCTCATGTCATAGGGCCAGCTGTTGGTTTAATGGGGTAGCAAATGAAGTTGAAACTGAAGGCCACTGGTACCAATTGATTTGAAGCTACTGATCGTTAGGTATGTGGCTGTGAATGGCTGTCTTTTGCGGCTATGGGTGGAATTGATGCGCAAAGAAACATTTCGGTACGATTCCCAACCGCTTACTTTTCCTTCAATTGACAGCGGGTGGATGACTTCTCAGTGATGTCTCCAACCATTGAATGTTTTGATCTAGTTTTAGTGCTCCGACATGATAGTGGTGCCATAGAACTTAAGTAATTTTTGGTTAGCTTGGGGGCTTTGAATCTGATCTCAGGCGGGCCTGTGGTGTTGGGGCCACCTGACTCAACCTCTTCAAAAGAAAAAGCTATTGATGAGTTGACTTTATAGTGCGATTAACAATGTGAGCATGTGCACAGACGAACGGCAGTGGGCTGTCGCCGTTCTCTCCACTTCCAACCATTCCCTTGGTTTAGTGTAATACTGCGGGTATTAAACCTTGATATTCTGTGATCGAACATTGCTGGACGTGTAATTTTTCATTTTCTTGTTGGGACTTTATACTTAAACTGAAAGGGACTCTCAATACACAACAACCTTCATCTCTAGCACCACACTCCTGGAAAGGAGGGAAAAAGGAACTTTTGTGGTAAATTCAAGTCACTTATAACTTGTCGTCTGCCATGATGATATTGAACGCGAAACGGAGAATTGCCACAGTACGACGGACTTTGGTTACTGGGGACCTTGAAATGTACCCTCTACTGACTTTACTTCCGCGCAAAGTTGAAGGACTACAGTGGGGTTGCAGTGTACTCTAATAGCTTACATAAGCCTTTACTGACTACTTCAGTTTGTGTACTATTGCATTAGTAAATGCCTGAAACCGCATGGTCAGTTCTTTACAATTTTGCTCCCTGCAAAATTACTATCGTCTGACAGATTGCGTTCGTTGTAAAACAACCATTTGAATCATTGCAGGTTAATGATGCAAAGACGGACGAAAGGGTAGTTTTGCTGGGTAGTCAGGAATTCTTGTCCTCGAAACCATTTTCCAGTAGCTGAGCTTCTGTTATCGGCAGTTACTCATAGCCGCTCAGAGTTCTGCATAAACAAAAATAATTATTAGCAGCCGACCATTTAGCGCTCGGTCTACTTCGTAGGACATTGCAAAATTATCTCTGAAAACCGCCGTTTACGAGCGTCCCTTTTATCTAATCGTTTAGTAAGTTATTAAAAGTGATTTTTGGCTGCCGACTTATCCTTGTCGAGGCATTCTGCTAATTGTAGGAATACAAGTCCTGAGTTGCGGCTCAAGCTCCTGGCCGACGGGCTCTTCAGTACTAATTAATGAACTGCCTACTTTTCAGAGAACTGATGGGTATAATCGCTATTTTCAGCTCGATACTATGAGACCGGAGAATTCCGTGCGGGTGAGCGTGGAAAACGTGTTATCTTCTCATGGGCAAAAATCATCGGTCAATATGTGTTCTGGTTCGGATCATTCTATGCTCAATATCAGGTTGTTTCCTTTTCTGTAAGTGGTTTCTCGAACTCATCTTATGATGTACTTTCCAGATTTATTCCTGGATCATCAAACAGATATTTTTGATTCTGGCAGCTCCATTTATGTGAACTGTACAAGAAGTTCATATTTTTACAAATGCTCTATTTTTCCTTAATTCGGAGCTTCGCTCTCACATGCTTTTCAATTGCATCCGTATCTACTCTTCCTGATTTCCATAGTCATAGGGTATGGACAAAGGATATGCCATGGTAACCCGAAAGGCTAGTCACTGTCAAACGAAACCTCTACCGTTCGTCAGGTAATGGAACCGCTCCATCGGTTGGTTCCTTGAAGCTGCCGGTGAATCATTCAAAACACTCCTTCAAGAAGATCCACGCTGAGTGTCAATGACTCTGCCGTTTTCTTACGTCCTCCGTCTCCTTACTATGAATTCTATCTCCGCGGTTAACGGCTTTCAGTGAGCAGTCGGAAGCCGTTCGTCGAGTATGAACCGTGGCTTTAAAGACAGCATTCATGAGGGGGAACTAGTATAACCATACAATGTAACAGTCTCAAAGGGATCTGCATGCGTAATTTTTTAAGTGTTAGTTGACTTCCGGGTCTTTACTGAATGTGGCTATTTTTTTCTGCCCCATGGAAATCAATCAACCCCCTTCCTTCATATCTGAATGGGTTAAGGTACTTTTCTGATTGCTTTCTGAATTTATTCTGAAACGCCTCCTTTTATTTCTTTCCCTCTTTTTATATTCAGTGATCATTGAATCAGCCTGTACATTATTCAATATTTTATTTGTGAATCAAGTAAAATCGTTTCGACTTCTCTAAATGTGCTGAGTAGAAGTTGTGATTAAGGAAATTCGCATGATTGAATTAATCCACCTCTTTTCAATTGTACTCTGAACATTAGCACTTTCGTATCTCCTCTATTTGGCTTTAGATGACTGCTTTTTTCTCCTTTTTTTCTTTTTTACTTTGCTCCTGTACTATTTGTATGATGAGATTAGGTTGTGTGCTGTTTTCGGAGTAATGCCCTGAGCTTAGAACGGTTTTATTCTTCTAGTATGTATGGCATAATTCTTTCCTTTTTGAATATCATGTTAACATTTTCGTTGCATTTATGCGACCAAGTGGAAACGACGGTGAATACTATCAAATATTATTTAATAAATATCCTACTATATATAATGCGCTTATGTTTGTATGTTCGTCTGTAAGTGTAGGTGTCAGACCGGAAATTCATAACTCCTGCCCCATGGACCTAAAGGGTTCAAACTTGGTAGGAGTACCGTCGGCAGGATGGGAACACTTATGGTTGGCGACAGGGCCGGACCCTCCCCACCCCACGAGGGCTGGGTTATGGGAAACAAATATTCGGGCGGAATTTTAACCCCTGTCCCCGTAGACCTATAGCATTCAAACTTGGTAGGAGTACTGGAGACGTATGGGAACACTTATGGTGGGTGGCAGGAACGGACTCCAACCTTAGTGGGTGGGTTTTGCGCGAAAATGGTGATTTGGTCCTAGAGCGTTCAAATTTGGTAGGAGGACTAGCGGGAGGATTGGAACACTAATGGCAAGTGGAAGAACCGGACTTCGCCCCACAGGGTGCTGGGTTTGAGCGAAATCAGTGTTTGAGCAGATGTTCATAACTCCTGTTCCGTGGACTTGGAGATGAAAATTGGTCCATTTCTTGCTAACGACCGCCATCGATAAAGACATTTGGTGATGGCACTTTTATGACTCAACTGCATTTGTGAGTAAAATTCAAGACCTTTGTTGCCTACCAGTTATACCTTCAATGGATCTTCATTTTTAAGACGAACAACAGCAGATCGAGACTGCTAATCATAGGCATAAGCATCGGCGCATTTTGAATACCATTTGCATGCCCTGTTAATCCTCTAATTTCGCTTTCGAAATAGTACCATTTGTTACGAACAAAAAGTGGACCACCTAGCCGATTCTTAAACTTGGTCTTAGAAAGGAGGGAAGCCCGGCGTTAGCCCAGCGACCAGGCTTGGAAATGAGAATATTATGTAAATACAAACACACATGAAACAACCATGTTATTTTCGATACTATTTTCAAATTTGAGGTCTTTGAAAAAACACTGTGATAACCAGAACAATAACAACACTATAGTGTTTTTTAACGCTAATTGATTGACACCTAAATAGCTTAACAAAAGATTGACTGAAATAAGACAAGCTGAAATTGCCTTAAGAATGAATAAAAACACAAAATCAGAAGCCAATGAATGACTCGACAAAAATAATGGGACAGATCTCCTTTTAAGGAAAAAATAGTGTAAATAACTAAAGGTAGACCAGTTCACAATCATAACTGTAATAACATTTCTCAGTGTATTGTGGTCTGTGGCGAAGATAAGATGGTAGATAGGTAACCTCCCCCACCAGCGAGCGATATGAAGGTTTGGAAATGGGCTGTGGCATTAATTCGAAGGGGTAAGAACCGCTAACGTGTCGTTCGATTAACTTTAATTTTGAAGGAGTAAATTTAAATTTCGGTTCACTTCCACAATACTTGAAATTTCCCCCTTGGGAGCGGTGCAGTTGGGACCGAATCGCTAGCGGTCGCTTTCGCTTCGCCTACCTCACTCCATATGATTACTTCCTGTCGGTACTAGGCGAGTTATAGTAGCCATAATAAAGTCCACCAACGGAACAGGACCTGCTGAGTGCAGGATTCTATTTTAACTGGCTGAGGCCCACTGAGAAATGAAGTTTAAGAAGGAAACGTCTCGCTTTGGCAATGAAAATAGTAAAGAAAGGTACAATGAATTCGTATAGGGTACACAATTCAACGAAAGATTCGATACAGAAGTAAAGTAGGTTGGCAAATACAATAGTCACCGCTCTGTAGATGAACAATTAAAACATACACGTTTCTGGAATGATACACGCTGACTACGGTAGAAAGGACGATTTTATAAAATCATTGGATGTGTCTTGATTGCACCGCCAATTTCTTCTTCATCCTATTCAGCAGACTGTTCATCTAAAAATCGTTACCACAATTACAGCAGAGCTTGTAAAGAAGGAATCCATGCTGTATCTGGTCATGTGGGCCTCGTGAGACAAAACTGAGTGATTTGTCTGATCAATCAGTATGTAGACATCACTCAATCCAAAGCAATAGAAAAATTGGTAGAGTTTGAAGGAAATCACTCCAGAAATATGTTATATCAGTTCTTTGACCCACTGCTTGCTAACTTCACCCCATAATCTCAAAAGCCCCCAAAGAACCCTGCTCTGGCATGGAATTCCTGCGGGATAACTCGGCTGGTTCATGCAGTTTATTTGCAGAACCCTAGTTTGAAACATGTGACTGGTGAAAGCAATCACTTATTCTCAATCATGGGGAAATCGGGGGATAATATGAGGAAAAATAGCATCAGGAAACATTTTAAAGGGTTTTTCCTTACCTATTTGAAAAAAAGTAATCTCTACAACCTCAGATGTAAGAGATTTGGATTATGGAATATGCCATTTCTGATTTACATAAAAAAACGGTACCTTGTCTGTTTTTGAAGTCGGTGTTGCAGCTGAGTTACCCACGTTATCGGTTTTAGTTTGTGACGTCTCTACAGCTGTGCTTGTTGGACCGACACTCGAGGTTTCTAAATTTCCTGTCGATGAAGTTATGCAAAAAATATTGAAAATCCTTTGGGCAAAGCTTTTGTCGCTTCTCAGCAACAAAGTCTCACGATAAATATCGGAAACTTTGAGACTGCAACGATGATCGACTACTGTTTAAGCGGCGATACACCAAGCAATAAAAGTCTGAGAAAAATTTTAATCTGGACAGGAATCACTGGATTAATACGAAAATAAACGAAAATAAAAAAAAGAATAATGATCGGAGGCATTCCAGAGAGTTTTACGAGAAGATTACTATTCAATTAGAATTTACACATTAAATGGTGTTGCAACAGCCGCACTAAAAGCGCCCCATGGAACCGCGTCCCATTGGCCGTGTTCAGAAGATACCTTGCGAACTAACCCGGAGAAAACCAAGTAAAAAACATGGAATTCATAAATTAATAAGTTCATGGATAGTAAGATAAAACCCCAAGCCATTAGAAGAACGCAGCTAACCTGTGTTCAGTTTGCTCGTGTTGCCGTCATCGCCTGAGTTATTGGCTTTCTCCTTTCTTTCATCCTTACTGTCATCGTTCGGTGACTCCTTTTTGTGGCGTTTTTCACCTAATTTGAGAATATTTCAATACCCTTTAGATCTGAGTATCAGTTCCTTTTAACCTTTACTCGCGGACGACTTTTTGCTAGACCTCTCTCTGCTTCGCGAAGTGGATCTTTCGCCATTGCGCCGTGAACTGCGATCACTCCTACTTCGGTCATTGCTGGTTTTGCTTTCTGAAAACAAAATTCTCTCCCTAAAAACGAAGTAAACGCTCAAGAAATGCTGTAAATCGAAGGTAAAAACAAGTTTAACCACCCAGAAGACGTAACTTCGAAATTCGTACTGTTTTTTGAGGATACCTTTCGAAGTGCTTGATTTCTTGACCAACTTCTCCTCTTTCTCCTTCTTCGAATTGCTACTACGATGAGTCTTTTCATCCCTACTCGACCTCCGACGTTTCCTTGATCGTGAATGTGATCGAGACCTCTTTCGCGATCGAGATCGACTTCTACTCTGACTTCTGTCTCGTTTCTTTCGTTTTTTCTTCGGAGGAGAGGTAGCCTTAACCATATGATCAGTAAGTAGAATTCTCGGGACTATCAGAAATGGATAGAGTATAAGGCACTGAATATAAAATCGAAACAAACTCGAAGGAACTCGAAACATTCAAATTTCAATCGGTGATAGTAAAAGTGTTGTTTTGCATAAGAAACCTCGCAGATTTATTTAAAAAATTGCGCCACCTACTTCATCATCCTCATCCGGCGGTCTTTTCGAGGTTACATTTTTCCGCACTTTGAACTCTATTTCTTCAGACTTCTTTTCACTTTCAGTGACCAAGTCGTCTTCATTACAAGCGGCTCTAAGCCTTTCCGCAACATCGTCCTCCTTCGTTGCCGCAGCAGTGGCGCTATCCTCAACACGTACATCATCTTCGGAGCATGAGAACACATCATCCTTTTGCGAAACATCGCCAGGAAGCAGTATCTCTTGTATGGAAGGGTCCACAACGTCAAGCAGAGCAGTCGATTTGCCAGCATTTGCTGAGGGAGGTTCAGACGATTTCTTCAGATGATCTTCAGGATCATCACTACCACGGTTCACAGGATGGGATTGAGCTGGAGGAGTGCTTGAGGGTGACTGATTGACACCACCCTCCAACAGCATTCGCTTCCGAGATGGCGGTGCCACGCTTAAATTAAAAAACACAATATTTTGTTAAATCTTCTCGAGAAGCGTATATGAGTATACTTACTCTGTGTCTGTGTCGTCCTTTTCTGGGCATTTATTTCGGCTTCGACGCCGTTTCTCTACGTATACCGCGGCGATCAAATCTTCTTCAGCTTCGGTACTTCGCTGCCGAAGAGCGCTATCGATAGACTGACGTCGAGAAGAGCTATCAGAACACTTTGCATCAGAACACCCTTCGATAGCGCCGATTGAGTGGCGAGATCTATAAAAAGAGAATTTGTACAACGTTCCATCAGCAAAAGGAATTTCCAGTTTTACAACTAATACTTGATACAAACGACAACAATCCTTCTAGTTCTGCTTTCTACATCACTGGACCCTCATCTCTTTAGGCCTATTCATATTATTAGAAATTTAGAAATATACTGGGCATTATACGTCCGTAAATTCAAAATAATACCATAGAGCGATGCAATTCATCGTAGAAAATGTTCTAGAGAAGTAATTAATTCCAGGTAAAAATATTTTTCACTGGTTCACCGTTAATTCCACAGAGCTAAATGACTTCGATTGGCTGGATGTAAACAACACCAACGACCTTACGACTCTTCCGCATACTTCTTGGGGGAAACTGGTGAGGTGATCCCATTTCCATTTTTCTTCACACAAACAAGACTATTTGTGCATGAGCCAACTTCATTGAGCAAGCAGCTCCTCGCACGCCTTCTTGAAGCACCTGCTCTGATTAATATGTTCCGTGTTGCAGTTCTGCTCTGCAGTCATGTGTGGTTGTCCCGCTCTCTAGAGAAACCTCTGAAGTCCAGTAATCCATAAGGCAACAATTCCATGAATCAGGCAACCAATCCTTTGATTGCCATCAATTCAAAGTGGCTATCTCAACAATATCGCATGATGTCGGCTTTGCAGGTGTAATCTATCTGGGGGTTGAATGCTGGTTTAAAGAGTGAGCCTGGTATCGAGAATGACAGAAGAATTCAAAGAACGACTCGACGCTCTTTGTCAAATCAAAAACCAGCTCCTAACTTTCTCCATAGGCATTTCAGCGTAAGAAGCGTCCAACTCAATAAACAGAAAAATATGCCAATGCTCGATTGAGCTGGTGAGCAGGAGTTGAAGTTCCACCTTCTTGACATACAATCGTTTCGTGGCAGAATGGTAATTTCCATATCTAATTTGATCTGACTTCTCACGAGCAGGTGATAACCTGGCGATGATTAATTCATTTCAACTTTGAATTCTTTCCCGTATTCTCCGTATTCGATTTGTAATGGCATTCGAATTGTTCTGACGCTTGCAGAAATGCCAGCAAGCAATATCCTAGCACTGTTTCTTAAGTTAAAATTCTTGTTGCAGTGCTGTGGTGCCGCAGGTGAACAGTGCAAAAACTCTTGGATTTGCTCGGTACCTGACGTCCAACGCTGAAGTGCAGGTATCACCCAGAGATGTGTACTTGATTTTGAAGTTCAAAAAAAGCTGCTTTCGATTGACTGGAAGACATTAATGTGACCAGCCATGCCTACAACTACGGAGCACAACATCGTCATAATCGTTCCGGTATTTCACATTTTTTTGAAGTAAAGGAATGAAGTAGAAAGGATTTTTAAGCATTTTTGAATAGCAAAATAGTAACGAGTAGCTTTCTACCTCGTTAATTTTGAAGAGAAATATAAATCCGCGTAACCAGGGAACAAATTCATTTGTGTTTCGACTTCGTCGCGTAATGCTCTGGAATTCGGTTCATTTACGTATTTCTTTGTATCAATATATATTCCATAAGAAGCCCAGATTACTTCTATTGTGGACATTAAAACAACGTGACCAGGATAACTTACCTGTATTCATCCATGACCCATAATTTCTCTCGTACAGCATCCATAAGGCTTCCAAGACGATTTTTACCACGCCATCGTGAAGGATTAACGGCATCTGGACTGTTGATTGGGAGACCTGAGCTTACCGCGCGCGGATGATTCTGTATTCATAGCATAACTTTAGCACAACATTGGTAAGCACTGCTCTGTCCATCTTTGAAAGAAACAGTGAGGTGGAGAGACGGTCTTGTACAAACAAGCTAGGAAGACTACGACATACTAGCTTAATTCTCGCCATTTTTTCAGAATTATCTCCTATTATTACACAGAACAAATTAAAAGCATCTCCTTGTTAGGCATCAAAACTCAGAATATCTCTATTACTGCGACTGACCATCTTTATTCCCTCCGGAGTAAGCGGATGCTCAGAGTAAGTTATCTTATGGAAAGAAATACGTAGGCAGGAATCCAGCGAAAGACTGTGGGCCTATGATGAGATGTTACAACACAGAAAGGAAAGCACTTCAACGAAACTAAATCAGAGTAAGAAGCATGACCAATAGCATCATCTCACGACTCCTTAAGGTGTTTCTTAACTTGGAAAACACATTAGAAATATTTTTTCCCATATGAATACAAAAGAGTAAAATATTTTCTTTCCTGTATGATCATGGAAAAGTAAACTATAACAAACCTAGGAAAAATCACGAAATGGAGTAAAAGTTGGACTTACCAATGCCCCAGATGACGTCAGACGGTGAACATTCGACAAGCCTTGAACCGTGAGTCAAAAACAGCATGTAACGCATTTGAGTGTCTTGCATGAACTTCGCTTCTAAGGCAAGGGTCATGATAGATGTGCTCATGCCATCCCACCTAGAAAGAAAAGGTTTATAAGTATGCTTCAAGGTAGTTCTATGCTGTTCAGTGATGACCGACTGTGGTCGTTTCCAAGATATACGTCATATTAAGTTCTCAAAAGGTTTACAGAGAAAACAACTTTAACTGCTACGCACAACTTCCCTAATAGCTTCTGTACCGATAAAAGACAGGCAAACCGACCTTTCCCGATCAAATCCTTCAATCTTCGTGCCGATTCGTTTCATGTTCTTCGGATCGCGTTCTGACATTATTTGTTCAGCAGCTGTTTTATCTCCGGCCGACAAAGCTTTGCTATACCTACAACTCGTACTATTCAACACAAGATTCATTCAAGAAAATGCTGATTCACTAAAACTCAGCGCCCTGCTGACACCACTTACAAACAACCAAAAATTCGACCAAGTTGGGTAAAATCTGAATACATCGAATAGAGGAAATAACCTACATGTAGTATTGTTCAACGCATGTGAATCGCCTCCTTGAACCATCCATTGCGGTCTGTTGGAAACGACATGGATGGAAGTTCGAGAAGGGGCTTTGAATGGTGAAGAAAAGAGTAAAGTCGCCATTGGGTGACGACACTCTACGTGTACCCATTCACAAAAAAATTCGAGAGTCAATTCTATTGCGGAGTCAGGCAACCAGCTAAAACGATACAACTTTAATTTCTAAATTATGAAAAAAGCCTGACACCTACCTCTCTGTTTACTGCTTCAATCTTGGAAAATATAT